AGCTCTGCTCCCGTGGCTTTCCTGGTCTCAGGCCACACTTCACCTCTCCCAGGCTGGGGTTTCACTCTGGTAGCTCCACAGGTCTGGGGTCTCCGTGACGATCCCACTCCCATGGCTCCACTAGACATGGTGCTGATGGGGTTTCTCTGCTGCAACTCCAACCCCACATTTCTGCTTGGCATTTCTCTAACGAAGGCTGTCTGTGGTGACTCTGCCCCTGTGACAGATCTCTTCCTGGGCCCCCGGACTTTTCCGTAGATCCTTTGAAGTTGGGGTGGAGGCTGCCAAGCCTTCCCAGCTCTGGCATTCTGTGAGCCTGCAGACCTCACACCACATGGATGCTGCCGAGACTTGTAGCTTCCAAAGCTGCAGGTCCAGCCACACCTGGGGCCAATTTAGCCATGGCTGGAGCAGCCAGAGCAGCTGGGGTGCTGGTGCCGGAAGCAGCTTCCTGAGGTGGGCCTGGGCAGCAAGCCCGTGGAGGGTGGCTCAGGTCTGTTCCCCAGGACCGTTCTGTCTCCCTAGGTCTTTGGGCCTGAAATGGAAGGGTTGGCCCCAGGGGCTTCTGCAGTGCCTTCAGGGCCTTTCCCCTTCTCTTGATAATCCCTTTCTGCTGCACTAATCTTCAAGGCATCATTTCATTTTTCTTCTGAAAATGCTCTTTGCTTCCCTACCACATAGTCAGGCTGCAGATTTTTCAAATCTTTATGCTCCGCTTCCCTTTTAGTTATAAATTTTAGCTTAATGCTGTGCTTTTGCCACCATAACTCAGCGTAGGCTGTCGCAAGCAGCCATGCAGCTTCCTGAATACTTTGCTGCTTAGAAATTTCTCCCTCCACATGCCCTGGGTCAGCACCTTGAAGTTCCACATTCCATAATACTTTTGGACACAAACAAAATGCAGCCGAGTTCCTTGTCAGTTCATAGCAAGGGTGATCTTTGCCTCAGTTTCCAGTGTGTCCCTTCCCACTTCGTCTGAGGTCTCCTCAGTGTGGCCTTTGCTGTCCATGTTTCTTTCAGCACTCTGCTCGCCACCATGTAGCCGGTCTCTAAGAAGTTCCAAACTTTCCCTGGTTTTCTTGTCTTCTAAACTTTCGCCAGCATCTAGGCTTTTCCTAGCCTCCTCTTCCAAATCCTTCTGGCTTCTCCTCAGCACCCAGTTCCAAAGCCGCTTCCACATTTTTGAGTATTTGTCATAAGCAACTCTTCTCTGGTACCAATTTTCTGTTTTAGTCTATTTCTGTTGCTTGTAACATAAATACCTGAAACTCTTTGATTTACAAGAAGACAAAATTTATTACTTACAGTTCCAGAGGCTGGGAAGTCCACAGTGCGGGGAACACATCTGGTGAGGATCATGGTAGTGGTGACTTTACAGCAATGCAGGGGTCTCACATGGCAGAAAATGGCAGAGCAGAGAGAGAGAGAGAGAGACGGCTTCTCATGCGCTCTCCTTTAAAGCCCTCAGAACCACACCCCTGACCACCATCATCAATCCATTCCCTAGGAAGGTCCTCATTACCATGATAGGATTTCGCACTCTCTTAGGAGTCACAGTTGGGATCAAGCTTCTAATACATAAAACTTGGGGGACACAATCCATATGGGTGCCCTTGGGAATGGATTGATGTATTCATGGAGTGACGGGTTGGTGGTTTAATGGGCGTGGCCCTGATGGCTTTACGAGGAGAGCAGTGAGGAGGTTTTCCTCTTGCGCTTGTCATTTCTTGCCATGCATGTGATAAGCTGCTCACCACGGGACCCTGTAGAGAGTTCCTGCCCGGGAGAAGGCCCTCACTGGATGTGTCCCCCAGACCACAGACTTCCCAGCCTCCAAGGCTGTAAGACATAAATTTCCTTTCTTTGTAAATCACCCAGTTTCAGGGATTCTGTTATAAGCAGAGAAACAGATTAATGCAGGGCCTGGTGTGCCTGAGTCATGGGAGCCCTTGTTCCTCAGCTGCTGCCTTGGAACCAGGGGGTCTTGGGTCACCACTCCTGCCCATGTCACTCTGCTTACTAATCCTAGAGCCCACTGATGTTTTCATGAGACCTGAAGGACTAGCAGGGCCCCAAGCTGGTGGGGGGCATTTCTAGGTCTGGGTGAGTTCTGGGGGCTTACTGGTAGGCTTCTAGGAGAGGGGCACAAGGGATTCCCAGGCTGGCAGCACATGTCCAGGGCCCAGAGCACCCTCCACTCCCTCCCATACCCCTTGGGAGTGCCCACTGGCCACAGGCAGAGTACAGCAAGAGGGAGGCCAGGCCACAGGGCCTAGGATCCCAGCTTTCCTGACCCTGGACAGCTCCTAATCCTGATTCAGGAGGAGACCAGGGGTCCGGCCATTGCCCTGGGGGTGGAGGGAACTTCCAACCCCTGACCCCTCCATCCACCCTGACTGTCTAGTTTCTGGAAGTGGGTGTGGAGGTGGGACCTTGGGGAAGAGGAATTTGGGCTGGGAGTTTGAGAATCCCAGTGTCTTGGGACTTCAGTAATTTGTAGATCCTGGACAGCCCACCCTTGAGGGCCAGGGGCTCTCGTCCTGTGCAGAGCCAGTGCCCACCATTATTTCTCCACCAGCTCTTCTCAGGGTGCAGAGAGCTGCCTGGGCCATTGCCTGCTCAGACCAGGGAGGATGAGCCCACCCACATCCAGGTATGTGTGGATGGACGTGCCACTTCCTGTCCAGCAGCCCGGTTTGGCCCCTTGTGGATGTCATGACATTATCCGTGTGTTTGTCAAATGCTTCTCAAGTGCACTTGGTGCCGAGCTCTGTTCCGGGCATTGAGAGGCAGGACCCCTCCCTGTCCAGAGCGAGCTCCCTGTCTGGTAGGGGAGACCATAAAACCGCTGGGCAGGCAGGGGCAGGGGAGGCGTGCATGGGATACCTGGGACATAGGAGAGTGGGGACCAGGCTGCTTCCTGGAGGAGGTGACGTGTGAGCTCAGGGCCAGCCCAAGAGTTACCTGCAGATGCCCCGGGTGGGAGGTGGCTTGGCGTTGGGTGTGGGGGAGGGGCTGGGGAGCAAGCAGGCTGGGTGGGGAGAGCCCAGCCTTGGGCACTCAGCGCTGGTCTGGGAGTGGGGACACACACAGATGCCACGTGGGTGTTTGCGTGCATGTGTCCACGTGCATGTATGTCTTCTGTAACTGTGTGTGTTCACAAGGCCCGGGCCTGGCTTTACTTGGTCCTGTTGCCCCTGACAGCCACATGTGTGTGTAATGACACCCATACTTTTTAGGGGGAGGAGCAGATGGGGTGCCTGCTCCACCCCCAACATTCGAAGGCGTCATCTCAGAAGAATGCAGAATATCCGTCTGAGGAGCTTGGCCTGCGTCAACTCTGTGACCAGGAGGCCAGCAGAGACGCTGCAGTCCCACGGGCTCGCATAAGGGCAGCTACTGGGAGGGGCCTCTGGAGCCCACAGATCAGCTGCCAGAGGAAATGCTCTTCTGAGAAGCCCCGGCTCCTTCCTTGCAGATAAGGAGTAGATTTGCTTTCTCAGGCCTGGGGGATGGATACCAGGTCTCTGCTGTCTTTAAACGGACTGGCCAGCAGGCTCGTATGCATTGGAGATTTTGGACATTCCAGGGGAGTGGCGTAGGCGGAAGGGGCTGCTGATGGGGTCAGGGCCTTTCTGTGTCTGGAATGGAAGCCTCCTCTGTCCAGGCACAGGCCTTGCTGTGGGCACAGTTGGGGGAGGGCTGGAGGGCTTGGGGATCCTGCCCCAGTGGCTGGGACATTAACTAGCCCTGAATCCACCAAGTCAGGCCTCCCCTGTGTCCACCAGCCAGGTGGCCTTCACACTGTGACTGCCTGGCCTTCTTCCAGCTTCTGGCCACGATCTTCTGTGGTCCCATATGAGTGGTGGCCCATATGAACATACCATCTAAGCAGAAAAGATGTGCTCGCTGCAAGACACCTTCCAGCCCGAGGGCAGCAATAGCGCCCCCTGGCTGGAGGTCTGGGGTCCAACCTCAGAGCCCCACGGCTGGGAACCGCTGCCAGCTAGTGGAAAGCCCAGTGGACCACAGTGAGCCTGAGCTCTCTGCAGCTGCTGGGCCCCCTGTTCTGCCTGTGGGCCAGGTGGGAGCTCAGGGATGCAGGCAGCTCCGGAGCCCACTACAGATGCCGTTGCTTTCCTGGCCCAGAGCTGCGTGCTGAGCACCACAGGGTGGGGGAGGCTGGGCTCCTCAGGGGCCAGCTCTCCCACTTCACCATCCCTTTCCCACAATACTCTTACTCACCAGGCTAAAACTGGAGTGGCCTTCGGGCCCTCTGCTGTTGCTGAGAAATGGGCTCTTCCCAGACCGCCTCCTCCAGCCCAGGCTATTCTCCCTCCCTCTTTAAAAAGTCCAGACATAACGCACCTAAGAAAGCACTCCAATAGCAGGTGTCTGGTCCCCGAAACAGTCAAGCGGGTGGTCTTCAGTTCATGGATGCTCGGGCTTTGAACACTCTCCCAGGTGCACACGGGATGAGGGGCTTGTATGAAAGAGCCTCCAGATCTGGGTGGGAGCCCCACATCTCTCTCCAGGTGGCTGGTGTTTCAAAAAGTGTAGTTCACCAGGGAACAGCTGTGGAGCCTCTCCATGGTGCAGAGGGCACGCCTTGTCCCGGGCAGACTTGTAGATGCAGGGGAGGCTCTGACGTCTGAGGATGTCTGCTATTAGGGATCCATGGTTCAAGGACCAGTGCTCTCTCTCCAATCTACCCTAAGTGCCTCATGCTTCAATTCACTCACACTGGCTCTCAGGGAAGGTGGGGGGGGAGGGTTCCTGTGATTAGAAATCTCCCAAGTGTCTGCATAATGTCAAGGTCTCATTGTCTGGCCTTTCCCCCACCCCCACCCCCACCCCTACACTTCCCCTGAAGCTGGTTGGCCTGAAATGCAGACCTGAGGGCCTGGAAGTGGTCCCTGGCCTCTGGGAAGCTGCACTGCAGCTGAGTTGGTCTTTCCTCCGTCTGGAGCTGAAATCCTCGCTCCCGCCAGGTGGCTGGGGTGGAGCAGTGGCCTGGCCTCTGGGAAGGGCTCCTGGGGCCCAGCGATAGACTGGGTGTGCAGCCATCCTGGACAAGATCCCTCCCGGGAGTGCTATGCATGCTGTCTCAGCTCAAGCTGACCTGGTGGTCTGGATGTGACAGACTTGAAAAATAGCACAGTGGTCCTGACCTGGGAAGGTGCTCATGATTGTACGGTGAGGCAAGAGGCAGAAAAGACTGTTGCATGATCCCAGTTGTGCTAAATAATGGATGTTGGTATGCATAGGAAAGGGCACAGTGGTCAAGACCATGGGCACTGGATCCTGCAGCCAGGGCTCAAGTCCTGCTCTGTCACTGCCCAGTTGACCTTGACTTCAGGCATGCTGCCCAACTTCTCTGCGGTTTAGTGTCCCCAGCTGTAAAATGGGATGATGCTGGCGTCTGCCTCTCAGGAGTATCATGGGGATTAAACGAGTTAATAGGTGGATTGGGCTTAGAACAGCAGCCCTACCTACATGGCCGCAGAGACAAACGTCTATGGTTTCAGGTGATTTAATGGTCTTTTTGTTTACCTGTATGTGTAAATTTTTCTACAATGCTTATGAGTGGGATAATTTTTGAAAAAGTCAGATGGTTGCTTTGAACAAACCTAGAATCATTGCAGACCTAATGTGCTGCTTGTGGGGAAAAAGTAAAATAAAAATTAATGAATACACCTGAAAGCTCTCAGTTCATCACACACTGACAGGGCGGCAGCTGACCACATGGGCTGAGGAGCAGGCAGAGAGACTGAATCAATTCTCTGGGGGCTCCGTCAGGTTGGGGAGACACCTCTGTGGGTGCAGGACACTCCCCCAAGACCAGTGATGACGGGGAGGGGCTCGTGGAAGGGCCATGCAGAGGGGCTAGCGAGGGCTGTGGAAGAGGTGGGGTTTGAGCAGGGTCTTCAAGGATTCGTAAGATTGCAGTAGGCAGGGAGCAGTGGCACGTGTGAAGGTGTCAGGTGCAGGAAACAGTACACACGTGTGTTCATGTGTGCACACTCAGAGGCATGGAGTGCATGCCGGGTGGGGCCGACGCATGATGGGAGCAAGGCTGGGAGCAGGTGAGGCCCACCTGCTGGAGGTGTCCAGGTTGACACGCTGCAGCACGATCTCAAAGTCAGTTTCCAAGCAGGAAATAGGGGCTGAGTGCAGATGGTCCTGCTGGGCACAGGGCGGGTGGGCTGCTGGCCCATGTGCAGTGTTGCTTCACCGGAGGGAGGTCTTGGCCTGCACCGGCATGGGTGCAGGGGTCTGGGGACAGTGGTCATCAGTTCCTCAGGTTCCCAATGTTGTCTCCTGAGCAGGACGATGAGAGCCACAGTGCGGGTTCTAGAAGCTTCCCTCTCCAGCTGTTGCCCCCAGCCACACTGGGAGAATGCCAGCACCTGCCCCTACTGAACACACAGCACCCAGCGTGGGAAGGCCTCGGAGGAAGAGCTTGTTCGTTCCTGGTTTGGGGCTGGAGGGGTGGGGGACTGATTTGTCAGGCTAGGATGGGGCCAGCCAAGCCCCAGGACACACTGTCCCCTGGCCTGGCCTGCTGGAGCGGGGCCTGTGCTGGGAATGGCGTCTGACCCTGTGTTCCAGGCGGAGCTGGGTGAGTGTCCTCAGCACGCAGCTGTGCCCAGCTGTTCCCCAGTGACACAGTGGAAAGTTCACCCCTCCCCAGCAGTTCTGCTGACCATGGAGCCACCAGCACAGGTGTCAGGGCTCTTTGGGGGCCTCCTCTGCAGAGTTTGGGGAAATGTGTTGACTTCCTAAAGACCTCCCAGGTATTTCAGGGGCTAAGAAGGCGAGTCTACAGCCTGGCGTGATGGGACATCCTTTCAGGCTGGTGAAATTAGGCAAGGTCCTGGCTTCCAGTGGGATAGCTTGTCACCTCCTCATCGTGACCTCCACAGTAACCAGCAGAGAGAAGCCTCCATGACCTTTGCCATCCCTGAACCCAGAGGTTTTGGCCCGGAAGTCCTTCCCCAGTCCGTGCTGAAGCATTTGCCTTCAAGGGGAGAAGGGGAGTCTGTGAGTCTGTGTTCAAGTGTCGGCTGGGCCTTGGACCTTGGACAAGTTGCACACCTGTGTGCCTCCAGGCCCCCTCGGCCTCGTGGGCTCATTTCTGGGGCTGCCTCCCAGAGGCACGGGCTGTCTCAGGGCACCTAGGGGAGGGTTCCCAGTCTCAAGACCCTGCTTCCCCTAACCACCACTGCTGGCCCTGCCTGCAGGCTCCTCCTGGGCCCCTGCAAGGGGGCTCTGCAGCCTGTGATGGGCCCCTGAGGCCCCCTACCCTCGCTCCCATGCCCGCTCCCACTGCGCGGGAGCCCTGGAGGGCAGGGGTGTTGCTGTCTCATCCCCTGCTGTATCTCCAGGGCCTCGAACAGCTCATGGAACTGGCTCATGGAAGCAGCCCAACAAATAGTTGGTGAATGAATGAATTCACTAATTACGGATGCATTTGTTGAGAATGGCAGAGGTTGAGATCACAGACCTTAGAGCCAGGCTGCCAGGCTTCCAAGGTCTGAATCTGTGATTTACTGGCTCTGTGACTTTAAGTGAGCTGCATAATGTTCCTCTGCCTCAGTTTCCTTATCTGTAAAATAAGGTCAAAAATTTCTGTTCCTAAAAATATGGGCAGTTAAACTGCACAAGCACTCTCACTAAAAATAGCTAAAAATTCTGGATGGAAAAAATAACGCCCATCTTCTCTAGTGTCGTCTTGAGCGGACTGGGAAGTGTGGAATACTCAGGGTGGGATGGAGAAGAGAGGGGACCGGGAAGGAACGTGACACTGAGGCTGACTTTGCTTGGGGAGTGGAAAGGGGAGGCCGCTGCTCCTCTGAAACGCAGCTGGGCTCACCGCTCGCCAAGCAAAGGGGGCGCCGCGGCTGCGGGCTCAGACTCCCCAGGCAGTTTCTCTGCTGCAACTCTGACCCCATGTTTCTGCTCAGCATTGCTCTAGTGAAGACTCTACGCAGTGACTCTGCCCCTGTGACAGATCTCTTCCTGGGTCCCCAGACTTTTCCATACATCCTTTGAAATTGGGGTGGAGGATCCCCCAAGCCTCCACAGCCCTGGCATTCTGTGAGCCCGCAGACCTAACACCACGTGGACACCACCAAGGCTTTTTCAGCTTGTGTCTTCCAAAGCTGCAGGCCCAGCCACACCTGGGGCCAACTTAGTCACAGCTGCAGCAGCCAAAGCAGCTGGGGTGCTGGTGCTGGAAGCAGTTTCCCAAGGTGACCCTGGGCAGTGACCCTGTGGAGGGTGCCTCGGGCCTGTTCTCTGAGACTGTTCTGTCTCTCTAGGCCTCTGGGTCTATAATGGAAAACGCAGCCTCCCACATCTCTGAAATGCCTTCACGTTCCTTTTTCCCTTCTCTTCATGAGCCTTTTCTTCTGTGCTCATCTCCTTAGCAAAGGGTACCTCGGCTACACCCTTGCTTTTGTGGCCAGGTTGAAGGTTTTCCAATTTTTTGCCCTCTGTTTTCTTTTAAATTATAAATTCTGGCTTTATCTCATGCTTTTTCTGCCATAACTCAGCTGTCATAAGCAGCCATGCAGCTTCCTGATTACTTTGCTGCTTAGAAATTTCTTCTGCCAAATGCCCTGGGTCAGCACCTTGAAGTTCCACATTCTGTAAAGCTTTTGGACACGTACAGAATGCAGCCAAGTTTCTTGCCAGTTCATAGCAAGGGTGATCTTTGCCCCAGTTTCCAGTGTGTCCCTTCCCACTTACATCTGAGGTCTCCTCAGGATGTCCTTTACTGTCCATGTTTCTTTCAGCACTCTGCTCGCCACCATGTAGCCAGTCTCTAAGAAGTTCCAAACTTTCCCTGGTTTTCTTGTCTTCTAAACTCCCGCCAGCAGGTAGGCTTTTTCTCTCCTGCTCCTCCAAATTCTTCCAGCTTCTCCTCAACACCCGGTTCAAAAGCCACTTCCACATTTTCAAGTATTTGTTATAAGCAATGCCCCACTGCTGGTACCAATTTTCTGTATTAGCTCATTTCTGTTGCTTATAAAGTAAATACCTGAAACTGGGTAATTTGTAAGAAAATGAAATTTATTGCTTACAGTTTCAGAGGCTGGGAAGTCCTAAGTCCAGGGAACACATCTGGTGAAGGTCTTTGGTGGTGGTTTTACAGCAATGCAGAGGTCTCACATGGCAGAGCAGAGAGAGCTAACCTTCTCAACTGGCTGCTTTTAAAGCCCTTGGAACCATGCCCAGACCACCATTAAACCATCAACTTAGTCACCTCTTCAAGGCTCTGCCTTTAAATTACCATAGTAGGATGTCCCACCCTCTTAACACTGTCACACTGGGGACCAAGCCTCCAACACATTGAAATTTAGGGGGACACAATTCAATCCACTGCAAGGGTAGAAGATAAAGCATGGAGCCCGGCCTTGTTCAGGAGTCTGGGACTCCCCAGGACTGTGCCCCTCTGTCAGGCAAGCTAGGGAGCCCACACCCCACAGCTCCCACCTCCATGCCCTCTGTCTCTGGCTTTGGTGCTGAGTGGAATAGGAAAAACTTCTCCAAGAATTTGCCATTATCAGCTGACTCTCGTGTGTGTACAGCCTGGGTTTACACCTCCTCAGTTATCCCAAACCTCAAACAAGGGATTTTGACTAAAGGATTCTTGGCCTGGAAGTGCCCAGTTGCTTGACGGAAGCAAATGCAAGCACTCACTAAAGGAATCTGCCTTCACCTTAGGCCTCGGAAAACTTCCCCAAAGTTCCACAGCAAATGAGCAGTTCAGAGTCAAAAATCACTAAACACATGAGGAAACAAGGCACCA